TTGGACTCCTTTGTTTACTTCCAGAACATAATGACAACACTATGTAACACTCGCCTTATTTTGGCTACCGCCCCAACGCATTATACGCGATAAGCTAAGGGGCTGTGCTTTTCCGACTCATCTCTAAGCGGTTGACCAATCACAACGGAGCCGGCCAGCTAACCAATCAGAGCAGACTGGGTTCTGGTTTCAGACAGAGGGTGAAAGGAGGTGCTGCAGCACAGGCAGTATGAGAAAAATAAAGAGCTTTTTGAACCTTAAAGCATTTAATATGTCTCAGTAGAGAGACGAAATACAAATAAGAGCCTGAAAATGAGCATAATATCTCCTTTCTAAAAACATAGTTTGTTTCCGCCCATCCCTCTCCTTCTCAGCTGCTGAATCCCTTGTGCAACCAGGCCCGACCTCAGCCTCTCAGCGACTTTGTTTGTTTCCTGCAGTGGCTACAATATGTGTACGTTTTCTTTTTTGCTCACCCCCAGGCCTGCCATGAGGAAAACTGTGACTTCATGATCATCCTGTGTCCCTCCTGCAAAGAGCTGATGAGAGCCAACGAGCAGGAGCGGCACAACGAGAGAGAATGTCCCGAGAAGACGCTCAACTGCAAATACTGCAAAGAGCCCTTCCTGTTAAAAAACATCAAGGTCAGACTGTCATCACACTGAGTGTTTCATTAAAGGAGAGATATATGTGAGGAATAATGTTCAGTGAGGCGATCATTAATGAAAAAGAACACCAACCGTAAATGATCTTATAATTATAATTATATAATAAATTATATAATGTGATTAATCGTTGAACATGGTCAGGTAGGGCCCTAACCACTTCCACTTAGTTTAAGCATTCGCATGGAGGGTCCGTCACATTAAGCGCCGCTCTAAACCAACTAGTTTGCAAGGAAGTGCAAGTTAATAAACCCTCCAACATGAAGTCTGCTTCAGCCCTTAACCTGTTGCCCTACCTGACCCGGTGCAATGCTGTTTGTGTCCCTCATGAAACACGCTGTATACAAATGTGTCTGTGCAAACACTCACTGGACAATTCTGGGTTCATAAACTCTAGTTGATAAAAACTGTAGATGTGTTCATTTGATTTTAACATTTTGTATATTTACAGGTACCAAACAGCTCATAAACATCAGATAAAAGATAAAAGAGATTTACAAAAATATTTGTATCATAATTATAATTTTAAAAAGTGTCAGAGAGATGCTGATTTAAAATCGTTGTTACTGAAATAATATGTAAAAATGTATACATAAACATATATTTAGTCAATTCTTGTAATGAGGTCTTACTGCACCTGGATGAGATATCTCTCTGATTGTGAACTCACAATGCATACTGTTTTAGGCTCATGATGAGATCTGTCCAAAGTACCCGCTGATCTGTGAAGGCTGTGCAAAGAAAAAGATCCCCAGAGGAAAGGTACCCCACGTATTCTGTTCAAGTCATTTCTTTTGATTTTGTTGGATTGGTCTCATTTACCATTTATTCTGCAACCCTTTCTATAGATCATAAGCTTCCTTCATTTTTGTTTTGCAGTATGTGGACCATATTAAATTCTGCAGTAAATTTAAAGCACCATGCCGATTCCATCTTGTTGGCTGCGATACGTCTGTAAGTAGACATTTTCATCATAATTTGCTATGTGTGTGAAATGGCTTATATAACAACTACTGGATCATGTAATAACTCCAAAATTCAACAATCTTTCCCTTTGCATGTTACTTTTTTCAAATAGCACACAATATGACTGTTTAAGCCTTTTTTAAACTGTGGAACAGTAAAAGGGAAAACATTTAGTTTGTAGATACTTCAGCAAAATCCTCTGAAAAATAAAATGTAAATGTATTAAGCGCCGCTTTCTTTTCTTCAATCTTTAATGAAAATACTGAACCACGAATTGCATTTGATGGCAATTCAAAAAAGTGTGATAGTGTAAATCTCTCCTGAGCAAGTGGCAAATGGTGTGTGTGAATGTGTGTGTGAATGTGTGTGTGTGAATGCTTACTTTTGCTCTAAAAGTCCTTGATCGTAGAGACTAGAAAAAGTTGTGCAAATACAGTCCATTGAGCTTTCATTAAAATTAATAAAAATCTTAATTGACAAAACTATTTTGTATTTTCATCAACATGTATTTTCTTAATTAAAATGCCATTTGTTTATGTGTAATAGATGAGGCCTGTATTCTGTGCTCTGAAGTTTGTTCTGCTTGTGTCTTTCTTTGAATGGAGGTGGAGAAAGAGAAGATCCATGACCATGAGAGGCAGTGCTCGTACGAACACCTCAACATGCTCCTGCATTTCATCATGGGCATCAAGGTGAGCCTGGAGAGCCTGCAGCCCCAGAGCCTGGAGGCCGCCAGCCACAAGCTGCAGGAGCTGCACCAGTCCCTCTGGGAGCTGGAACTCCAGATGAGCCAGCTGGTGGGGGGAGGGGGGTTGGCGCCCTCCGTGCAGGGTGCCTACGCCCCCACCCTGGCCCCCTCCTTCACCCCGCTGCCCAGCGGCGTGGAGGCTGCTCTGGTGCTGCAGCTGCAGAGCGAGAAGGCCAAGGTGGTGGAGCTGAGCCGCCGCTGCCAGGAGCTGGAGCTCAAAGTCAGCACGTTCGAGAACATCGTGAGCGTCCTCAACCGAGAGATGGAGCGCTCCTGCACCTTCGTGGAGGCCTACAACCGCCAGGACAGACTGGACCAGAACAAGATCGAGATCCTCAACAACAAGGTGACCTCTGCACTGCAGCTAGCATCACGCTAGGAGGGATATAAGGTTGTCATGGCAGCAGAACTGAAATCCATTTAAAAGGTCGGCTTGTTCTAATCATCATGCTTTTTCTTCAAATCCACTGATAACATCGTCCCCATCCTCATCCAACTGCTCTGGCCCACATTTAAAGGAGTCCTATCATCCAAAATGCACTTTTTGATGTATTTTATACATA